CTGATATGGCGATTTCTTTGACGACTGCAATATATTTCTGAATCGTTTGAGTGAATTGCTCTTTATTTTTAAAATATCCAAAATTTAAAAAAAGCCGAACACAATTTTGAAGCTGACGTATTTAGCTATGTCCTGTGAAAATTTGAGCGAAATTGGTTAAAACCCGCAGGAGCACAACTCGTTTGAAAATCAGTAATTACTGTAAAATTCTTCGGGAGAAAATTGAATTTGAATATTACATTTTCAATGTTTTTCTTATTGCAGCGAAATGTATTTTATTATTTTTCGTTCAAACTTGGTCAGATAATAGAACTAGTCTAATGCTTTCATCGAAACCAATAAAAAAATTTTAGGCAAAATTAACACTCAAAGGTGTTCTGTAACCTTAAATTAATGTACTTTCCAAAATTGTAATTTAGTTGCTTTTTTGGCCTCATTGTTCACTTATTTATCATGGAATTACTTCGCTTGAGCTCTTTTAATAATACCTGCAAGATACTTTGCTATTTGGTGAAATAAAAGCTATATTTTTCATCATACATATTACACCCCTATACAATTGGTCCTTGAAAAGGACTTATTTCAAACTAGAGTCCGATTTCAAAAGAAACCGCCTGTCTGACATTTTACAGCAACCTACATTGGCACGCACAACCGTTTTAGCCACAAATCTGTTGTTTTCTCAACAGAAACAAAAGGAATTTCAGTTAAAATTCTTACCTGATGAATATTCAAGTGTTTATCTCTTTTTGACGACTTTCAGTGCTCTTAATAGCGAAATAAAAAGCCTTTTGTTTTGTCACCGCATGCTGCGTTTGAAAATGCCGGCTGTCAAAGTCTGAATTAAAAACATCTCAAATATTTAAAATTTTTCTCACCTTTTTCATCCTTTGTTTATATTTTAATTAGTAATTTTTGTACTTCGTGTTTTTCCAAACATATTTGAGGTTTTTAAAAACTTCAAAGAGGTACAAACACTGCGTTTTTGGGTTACAGAGTTTTTGGACTTGAACAACAAGTTCTGAAGTTCAAGTTCTCCATTGTAAACTAGATGTCCTGAGTGTGCCTAAGCTATGCCCAAGCAAAATTTTATAGCATTTGATTATTTTGTAATTTATACCATACAAGATGAAAACTAATTTAATATAAATGTGTACCAATCCAGGAATCAAAAAATATTTGGCCATTTATGTTGGGTTAAGGAATTATTGCCCCTCAGATGTTGGGTGTCATGAAGAAACAAAATGTCAGGGACTTAAATTTGCACAAACCAAGAATTCTCACCCAAAAATCTAATGATATATTTAAGTGTGGGAGCTCATTTAAAATAAAATTGATTAATCATTTATCATTTTAACCCACTGCCAAATTTCAAGGTTTTTTATAACATTGATCTTGAGATATAGGTATTTTTGTTAAAGCAATTGACAGAAGTTGACAGTAACTAAAATTCGCCATTTTCCTTACAACTTGGGGAGTGCCAATGTTCCAACAGTCTGCAACTTAATGAGTTAAACATGTGCTATTTTGCATTAAAAATTTGCGAATTCCAATACCAGGTTCCCGCACGCGTGCGGTCCCTATCTTAGTTCAAGAGCTCTTTTCTATTTTTTAAAACATATTTTCACACCTTAGATTTGAAGTATTCAACTCCATTATAAGACAAATGAATGTATATTCCAACCGCCATGCAAGTAGCAAAGACATAGCAGAGAAATTTGCAAAGCATCACCTGCTCAAGTTCTTGATCAATGGAGAAAATTGGAAGGACGGTGACATCAGGTACAAAAAATAAATAATAATATTATATATTATTATTATTTAATAATATATAACAATAGTATTATTAAATATATTATAATTACACGCAATTACTAGATAAATGCATAATAAAACCAAGTGTAAACTGGATGTTATATACTGCACATTTGAATGCTATAACTATCAAGTATCTCTTTGGCAGATGGCAGGTGCCAAACGGGATCATCCAGCATTACAATGTCATTGTCATTGACATAATATTGTCATTTAATACTTTGGTACACTCTTTTTCACCTTATAACATATATAGTCTCGTTCACAAACGCCACTATTGTTCTGTCCGCAGTTTTAGAACACAGCCACGCGTCAGTTATTCCACAATGGAAAAACCACTTCTAATCATCTACAATCTGACAAGAAGAATATATTTTCTACATGGCAAAACATATGCGACGCCATCATCTATTTAATTAATTATTGCATTGACCGAGTGAAAGATTGGGCACGAAAAGTACGATCCGTAAAGCCATGCATTTCACAGTTTGTACGGACCGTACGATCCGTATGGATCGACAAACATTTATGCCTAGCTGACTTAACACAACATCGCCATCAACAAAGTAGATTCACAATCCGTAAATCTTTTTCATGAACCGTACGGTTCATATGGTCCATAAAGCCATTTTACAGTTTGTACGGACTGTACGGATTGTGTTCAATGTTTTACAATCTTTACAATCTGTATACCAGACCTCTTCAACTCACGCATCCGGTGTGAGTCTCACACAATTCGCTTCACTCTCACACCACGTTTATAGTAAATCTCACGCATATAGCAGTTTCATTGTATTTTTTCAATAAATAAATAAAATATTGGATTCTTAAATGTACATTATTAATCATTATATGGATCACAAATCCAATATACTGTATAATTGTGTGTTATTGTTCCGGCATATACAGTCCGAAATTTTGCCTTTTGCCCGCAATTTTTTGGATACAAAATAGTACGAATATGTAAATAGACTAAATACGGCAGACAAAAGGCAGAATCAGTCGGAGCAGAATTCTATATGTAAATTATCAAAGGCAAATTAAATCTCATTACTGTCAGGGACGTCGCAAAGCCATCAACATTGGGGGGGGGGGTCGTCATGTTTTGACCAACATTTCCTAGAGTTTTGACCAAGTTGTAAAAATTTTTCCCTGAAAATGTTGTCGGGGAGGGGGGGGATACCTCTATGTGCTTATAGAAGATTTACTTATATGAGCACATATTACAGGCGTGAGATCAGAAAAATTTTCTGGAATAACATAAGCGTACTCCAAAAATTTTTCCGTACCAAGATAAGCAAATTCAAAATTTTTCGACCAATACGAGCAAAACTTTCTATTTTTTCATCGCAAACGTAACAAAAGCTTTAAAATTGTTAAAATTGCAAACCATTTCATAACTTTGGGCAACTTCAACCATCTTTTATCCCAAAGTTTTACTGAATTTTTCCCAGTTTTACCTTCAATTTTAAGCAAATATCACTTCCATTTTTACCAACTTTGACCGACGTTTAAATTATTGGGGGGTTACACCCTCCCTATAGAAACGTCCCTGATTACTGTATGTCACAGAAATACAACTAAAGTGCCTTGTCTTAAAGGAAGTTATCAAGCAATGACGTATTTCATTAAAAAACACCAACTCTCATAATGTATGAAATGCCATTTCAGACCCCCAGACATTTACAAAGGTGTCATCCACATCGCCATGTACTGCACCGAAGATATGAACCTCAAAAATACTATTGCAGTTCTAGAATAGTTTTCACAGGGCCGGTCGAAAAGGAGTAAAAGAAAATTCATCCATTCATACTTTTGACATGAGTGTTAATAGGCGTATTAAAGCAAATACACATACAAACTTCGACATTATTGTCGCTACACACGTGTTGGGTGAAATTTCTTGTGTTGAAGCCAGTGAGATTCCGACCTCAGGTCGCTGCAAGAACTCCGGTTCTCAGGTCATTGCGGTCATCATGATATCTGTTTTATAAGATTATTTTTGCCTTTCTATGTTGTTTCCATTGTCCTGGATACTGGGCTAAATGAGCTCAAAAATTAAAACCATAAAAAAATTGTTTACAATGACATTATCCACCACAAAAATAAAATATTCTTTTAGTTTTCAAATTTCAGGATTACGGAAATATTGATCCAATGCAGGATTTGCCAAAAGTAAAAATTATTTTGTTACACGTTCTCTGAACAGTTTCTGGTTCAAAGTGCAATAAATGTATTAATATTGCTGCTATACCACTTCTTTTAACGATACAATGCTGCTCTTCTTCATTTGATTCGTCTAGGTGCAATTCCATCTCCATGAATAAATGTGTCCTTGGAGTAACAGAGTTATGGGCTGCTGCTCTCCAATCGTGATCTGGAAGAGTAACCCCTCCCCCCCCCCCCGTACAGGTGAAACATTTGCCTGCACTTTGACATCTTTAGAGTCAATCATGATGTTGTCGGAGTGTAAGTGTGCAAAATCCATGGAAATATTTACATTGTGAGTTGAGCATCGCAGTTTAACTACAAATTTCTCGACACCGATGTGAGGAGGTTTATGGAGGGAAATACATGCATTTATTCCTCTTCCAGAGTGATGACAGATCGCTCGGTAAGTGCCTTCTTTGTAATTTTGGATATAATTAAAGCGCAGAGAAAGGCTTATGATAAATTCATTTGGTGCTAAAGCGAACACAGTTTCCATTGCATCTGACATGATTGCGTTACTGTCTGCTTCAAGATGTAGAATGGTATTATTCAGTCTAGGATGGCTTTCCAAACCACCACCACCTCTGTCAATGCGATCAGATTCACCAAATGTGTATTGCATGATGGCTGCCAAATAGTAAATTCTTCACATTTTAGCATTCTCACCCTACCTTCAAATACATGATGAAGCTTTTCGAGTTTCGTCTTCTGAAGAAGTCTGTATTTCTTTCTTCCAGCTTTCACCCTTCCATTCCACACTTTCTTTAAAAACCTGGATGTTCATATCAACTTGATCTTTTCCACACTGAAAAGTATGTTTATCTTGAACATTTGCCAACTTCACCATAAACGTTGAACTGGTTAATTTTGTTAAGATAGCCTTTAAAGTATCTCTGTCACGTTTGTTGTCCAGATACTCACATATTATGCCAAAGTCATCACCAATGACTTTCTAAACAACATCCTGTTTTATTATTTCCTCGTTAGTGTTGCTGATATTTTCCAAGCATCCAAACAGATTGAGCACTTCCTTCCTGGGATTCCCCAAAATATAGCCTGTACCATTAATATATATTTGAATGGTGTTTAGATGTTTAGTCATTACCCAAAAAATTCTTGAAGATGTAATACACTTTGCCATACTCCCTTTAATTTGTTTATATTTTCCTGCATGACTTTATGTTGTGACTATTGGACCCATCTCAACAACATAATTACCTAAAGTAATCATTCATTGCCTCAAAATGTTGTTGCTGCCTTTCTGATCCCGCATCGCTGAGTTTTCTACCAGTTTTCATCTACATAACATGTACTGCACTGAAGATAATATGAACCTCAAAAATACTATTGCAGTTCTGGGATAGTTTTCACGGGGCCGGGCGAAAAGGAGTTAAAGAAAATTCATCCATTCATACTTTTGACATGAGTGTTAAGAGGCGTATTAAAACAAATACACATACAAACTTCGACAGTATTGTCGCTACACACGTGTTGGGTGAAATTTCTTGTGTTGAAGCCAGTGAGATTTAGTACTTACCTCAGGTCGCTGCAAGAAGTCCATTCTCAGGCCATTGCGATATCTGTTTTAGAAGATTATTTTTGCCTTTCTATGTTGTTTCCATTGTCCTGGCTACTGGGCTAAATGAGCTCAAAAATTAAAACCATCAAAAAATTGTTTACAATGGTCAGATGGACAATTATCGACCACAAAAATAAAATATTCCTTTAGTTTTCAAATTTCAGGATTACGGAAATATTGATCCAATGCAGGATTTGCCAAAAGTAAAAATTATTTCGTTAAATGTTCTCTTGAACAGTTTCTGGTTCAAAGTGCGATAAATTTATTAATATTGCTGCTTTACCACTTCTTTTAACCAGGTAATGCTGCTCTTCTTCAATTGATTTGTCTAGGTGCAATTTATTCATGGGAATAAATGTGTCATTGGAGTAACAGAGTTATGGGCTGCTGCTCTCCAATTGTGATCTGGAAGAGTAACCCGTCCTCCCGTACAGGTGAAACATTTGCCTGCACTTTGTCATCTTTAGAGTCAATCCTGATGTTGTCGGAGTTAAGTGTGCAAAATCCATGGAAATATTTACATTGTGAGTTGAGCATTGCAGTTTAAGTACAAATTTCTTGACACCGATGTGAGGTTTATGGAGGGAAATACATGCATTTATTCCTCTTCCAGAGTGATGACAGATCGCTTGGTAAGTGCCTTCTTTGTAATTTTTTATATAATTAAAGCGCAAAGAAAGGCTTATGATAAATTCATTTGGTGCTTCATTTATATATTATATTATATATATTATATATATTATATATATTATATATATTATATATATTATATATATTATATATATTATATATATTATATATATTATATATATTATATATATTATATATATATATATTATATATTATATATATTATATATATATATATTATATATATTTATATTATATATATTTATATATATATATTTATATTATATATATTTATATTATATATATTTATATTATATATATTTATATTATATATATTTAT